TAAATTCTTTGCTGAAAGTGAGCCAGAGGTTTTAATCCAGAGTCCACTGAGCAGAGAGTTTTTCAATGGACTTCAGTTGCCTTTGGATTAGACACAGGAAGGACATAGTTCGGAAAAGAACGCTTGAAGAGTCCTTCCATAAAGTGGACAGAACAGGAAATCTAATGATCCTTCCAATGGACAAAGATGGTACTCTCAAATGCAAAAGTCCTTATTTCCATTCAGTGGGTCAAACTTTAGTCAAGGCTCTGCATTAGGGGTATGTAGAATGGGATGTCATGCTCTAAGGGTGACAGCTGTCAGACAGCAAGGGTATTTCATACAACAGATTCCCCTGATGAACTGCTAATGATTGCCTTAAAACATAACCACGGCCTAAAAAGATCTGACAGTCACCAATAATGTAACAAACATGTACAACTGGGCATAAAATGTAAACCTTCCAGGCCAACATTGCAATATCTTCCCATTTCACATCGATTCAGCTAAGAAAATGCCAAAGTTAGCATCAGTTTATGTAGTATGTTTTCAGTGATTGGGACATAGAAAACACACAAAAGTGCATATTGCCGATTCTGGTATAATCTCTAAAATGTATCCATTTTACAAAACTGAGAATAGAAGGAAAGTTGGAACCTTCAAATGAACAAATCCCTAGAACACAGGATATATAACTGTGCAAGGGTAAAGACAATATTGGACTTCCAATAATAATGTTCTCAAAAGTTAAGAAAAAGTAGGATGGAAAAGAACCTTTGCCAACTTTTGATGCAAGAACATGGCAGAAGTAAAATTGCAGCATAAAAAATGATTGGATTTATTTTTGGTGTTATCTTTTATTGAATCAACTGCATCCTTGAGACAGAACTACACAAACTTTCAAATGCAGTGCATTCTTTTTCAGGTAATATAAAGTATTACTATTCAACACCAGACAATCTAATTCCAGTTGTACCTCTAATTTACCTTTGGTTTTTCTTCTTTTTTTTTTCCCCCCCTTTCTTGTTGGTACCTATGAGTCCCTTTCAAAAGAACAGCATTTGGGGAAAGTTCGATGTTTTTGTTGAATTAAAAAAGTTCTCTTTAAGGTAACAATCACAAGACTCATCTTTCAAACCTTGTTATATATCAGAGTCAAAAGGGAATAAAACCCATAATCACAAGCACAATTCAAAAGATTTCACATTTTAGGCACTCTGACATCCACAGATGTGAGTGGAGTTATTCAAAATATATAGGGATGTATCTGAAACTAGAAGCCACATTGCCTGGAAAATGCTCCTCTTTCTAGAATGCCTTCAGTACAATCATACTGCTACGATTAAACGGACAGTGATTAAATGGAGAGTTATTAACTGTCTCTGTGGTATTTGTTCTAATCCCATTAGGAAGTAAAATGTCAGTGGATATTTCATTCCAAACAACTGAAAATCTGGCTCAGAAACTCACTGGACCCACTTTGTACCCAAGGAAAGTGTTTCTAATCCTAAAGGAAAATGTGAAAAGGCTGTAAAACCCAACAGATCTGACAACAGTGTCCACAAGCAAGCTTTCTTTCTGAATTCTGGCAAGGTCATGAAAAGACTTCAGGGATCTTTTTAATAGTTAGATAAAGATTATAAGCCTGGTCCTGCAAGGTACCCCAAATATTCGTCAAAGACCAGGGTAGGGCAAAAGTTGAGGGTGTTAAACTCTTACATCATATATGACTTCAGTTAGCTATGCCACCCCATTCCAAAAGATGCTCTATTGTAACTCTGGGTGTGAGACATAGATTCTGCTCTTTCTATAATTTTTTAAGATACAGCAGTGGTTCTCAATCTTTTTGGACTCCAGGTATTACTTGATACAAAGCACTCCTCAGAAAATGGCAGCTTTTAAGTTTCCACTTGATTTCTGACTGCAGAAAAATACTAGAGCATTTTTTTCTGTTGCAAAGACCTCAGAAAGACCACAACAGGTCAGAATGGCTTTACACGCAACGGATTCCTATTTGAAGTCTCCGGGCTTATTTTGTGAATCGTGTTAGCACAGTGCTAACATTATATAACACCCCTGAAAGGATCTCAGGGCACCCAGGTGCCCCATCACCCTGCTTGAGAATCAGTAAGGTAGGAGAAAGGGGTAAATGGCACTTGACCTGCCCAATTTTCTCAGACTCAATTCATGAAGGGCATGTGTTAGTGCTGAACTAACACCCAGCCATCAAGGAGCATCTGCCTTTCCTAATCTGCTCCAGATCTCAAGGATGGGGGTGTTCACACTACTTAAATCAAGTGCAGGTTCAGCAAAGATAGATCTCTCATCTCCTTCACCCGCCTTCCCAACTGCTTGCTTCAAAAGGTCTCCAGAGCCCCAGCCCTCCCTGCTCAGCTTGTATATTTGTGATAGTTTCAAATACGAGAAGACTTCTGTTGGTTTGTCTTTTTTTATTAGCATGAATAAATATTTCCAGGTCCTTGCTACCCTGCACAGGACTAACTCAGGGTAATCTCTCTATCTGTGGTAGAGGAAAGGAGGAGGGCGTTAGACTACTCCCAGGGAGCCGTTTCTCAGTGGCTCTTGATCTCAGACACCCACCAGCTGTGCCCTTGGAGAGAGGTGTCTCAGCCTCTTCTAACAGGGGGGAGCACACAACTCCCATGTCCCCTCTTTGCAGGGCTGACTGTTCGGCATCAGATCCCTCCGCCTGTACCCTTGGGATCCGAACCTTTGACAGCCCCCAGGACCAGAAGGGGCAGACAAGTTTGAATCCCAAGAAGAGAAAAGTGGAAGCAGCGTCCCTCAACCAGGGTGCTGTGGCCCCCTGCAATGCTTTGAGATCTTTTCGAGGATGCCGCACAACATTAGATTAGTGCTGTCAGGCGTGCAAACACAGCGCACAAGATGACCCCAGAGATTGCAAGCAGGCAAAAGCCTTCTGACCCACTACGAGCCCTCCAAGACAAAAGAATCGCTCTCCCCTTTTTTCTGTGGATCAAAAAACAAGTGGAAATCAAGAGGGGGCATTTTCCAAGCACGGGGGTGGGGGGGGAGTTGAGGCTAGAAAAGGGGCTGTCAAGGTCCCAGATGCTTGCCTGGGATGGCTCAGCCCCGGGTGTTGCTGTCTGTGGGAGCAGGACAAGAGGCCCTCCTGAACTCCCCGCCAGCCCTTGGTGTCTGACAAGAGTCTCCAGGGGCTCTGGGAGGGGGCAGATGAAGTAGCCAAGGCAGGGGCTCTTAGGTGGGATCCCATGGGACCTACCTACCAACAGGCAGGGGCCACGCGCCCCCAGGAGCCCTATGGCCCGGCAGGGCAGGCCCTTACCTCGTTGTTGAGCTGGTTCTCCGCAAGGTGCGAGGGGCTCACGGAGTCGAAGGAGCGGCCCCGGCGCGGCCCGTCGCTGCGGCCGGACAACATGGCTCTGTGCTGCCCTTGGCGCCCGCTCCGCTCTATTTATGCCGATGTCCTGCCCAGCACGTGCGCGGAGCGG